TAATTAAGTTTAAATAAACTCAATCGAACGAAAATGATCGGTCATTTAATACATAGAGTCAACATTCTTTATAAATCTGGCATCCAAATTTATAAATTTGGATGCAAACTTATAAGTTTGCAACTGCTAGTCGACAACGTAACCAGCCGACAGAGTTTCGTTTAAAATGAAGAAAATTATGTTTTACAAAGAGATAACGTTTTTATGTCCTCAAGTTTGACTGCAAAAGCAGGTAATATTTCGTAGAGTATACATGTCTCCGCCCGGTGTGGGGAAGTTTTTCGTATGACAGCTATTTACACCATTGGTTGCGCCTTGCAGCCGACGTACCAAGAGATCCCTTAATGTCCTTTAGGTTCGGTCTTCCTGGAGAATCGTTATCAACGTTCACCAGTTCATCATCTAAAGCAGTCGAGCCTTCTCTATCGCTCATAATACACACCAAAGTACGAGAATAATATGACAGTATGCAGTGGGAGTTTATTGAACATGAGTATGAAGGAAAGGATAGACAAAGCTGTGTATAGGGATGAGATTACAGTGATATCAGAATAAGGGGGGGTGTTAGGTAATCTAAAAATGGAAATTCCGTTCATAAAAGCGAACACTTGATTGGGTCTAGTCTTAACCTTTCGTCTTAAAGGGCAGTGAGGACTAACATTAGGTTAGCGTCATGTTCCTTTACCGTCCTTCCGAAGACAATGATGTCATCAAGGTAGATGAGGCAGTACTGTGAAACCAAACGAAGGAGCACTGCTTGTTTAAGTCTTTGGAAGCTTGTAGCTGCGTTGAACAATCCGAAGGGAAGTGTTTAACATCCAACAGAGGCAAGACTGTCTTGTATGGCCTCCTAAATACCTATTCCCTCACCTAACTTTCCTACGGAGTTGGTGGCTTAACATGTAGTTCTTCGTTAACGAGTGTAAATGGGTCATTGTGTGGAAAGTTACCAAAGAATTTTAAAATAAAGGCATCCATAATTGCTTTAATGAGTTAAATAGAATCAATTCCGTCAATTTAGACTCTTATTACTCAGACAACCAAGCCTATTTGTAGTGTGCGAGCCAATTATCGAGTCGGAGGAGCCGGCGGGTTCGAATTTTGACCCCGTCTGTGGTGTGGAGCTAACTGTAGGTGTAGGAAGCTCTTTTTCCTCAGGGCCTCTATTTCTCCCTTTTGTGGGCAGGGGAGAATAGATGCAAAAAATTAGTATAATAATGGGAAAACAGGCAGAAATCACGTCAACAGGGACAAGGAGCCAAAGGAGTATAAGGGGTTGACGACTGTTCAGGGTAGACAGGAATAAGGAACAGGGGAGAATCCACAATGATGTTACAGGGACATGTCTGTAGATTTCACCTCCACAGGTTCTGTCTTCGGTTCCAATAGCTCGCACTCGTCCACAGCTGTGATAAGGGAAGAGCAACTCAAGAACACAACACTGTCTGGATCACACTGCAAAACTCCCCTAGTTCCTTTAACGTCAATTAAACCAACAAAATCCTCCCTCTTCTGCTAATTATTGTTGGAAATTTGACCTTATATTGGCGAATTGGACGATAAAGGTGGTTTTATGTCGATACCTCGGGTCAATTTGAACTTGTCAGTTTCATCCATGCGCGGCAATCGGAGTGAGTGGCGTAATGTAACTACGTTCAACCGATGCTAGTCTATACTGATCCGGAGTTTCCCGTCTTTCTTGGGTACTTACGCAAAGAGTGATGCCCAAGAAGAAGAGAATGGGCGCATGATTTCAAATTTAAGAAGCCGGTCAAAAATTCTAT